CTGAATATTGCCAAACACCAATATTGAAATTGTATTGGGATTTGGGTAAATATTTGGAAACCCAAATTTATTCAGCTCCATTATACCAATAGGGACTGTCTCCATAGGGAATATTAGAGAATCATTCCAGGGGTATTTGGAGCTTGGGGGGACAGTTTTTTCAGGTAGAGGCACCAAATTTGCAACATAGCTGCTGGTGCCTCTCCTCACCCCCTTCCCCATTTTAAAAAGATTGGACCAGGGGGTCTAATTCTATGGATGTTCAAAAAAGGTGCCCCCATCCTCCACTGAAACCAATTGAAAAAAAGGCATTTAAAGAGACCACAGATTGCTGGGTTCACTTGTCGTGGCAGTGCGACTCAGTGAGTGAACTCACAAGGCATTTAAAGAAGCTGCAGTCTCTTTAAATACATTCTAGCCACGACCAAATAAAAGCCGAATAATATCGGCTTTTATTTGGACACAGCTATTTTAGTAGCCAAATCAGATTCTCCAATCTGTATTTGGCTGAATAAGTACCTGAAAAATACCAGTAGGGTATTTTTCGGGTATTTATTCAGCTCGGTTTATACCGAGCGCACAACCCTAACTGTTACTACAGAGTTTGTTTTTGGCATCCCTCCCCCTGGGAGTTAGGGAAAAGGGGTAGGGTCTTTGAGCAGAGACTTGGGATAGCTTCAGGATTTTCAGACATCCCGGGGACACAAAGGAACAGGGGCTTATGAGTCCATTCCTTTGCAGGGTACAATACCCATTCCTTGTCTGCCTTTACCCTAACTGCTTTAAGAAGATTCCATGCAAATACAGTATGATATGCCCTATTCACATAACCTTTCAGTGACTGCTGCGTAGTAGTGCAAACCCAGCTTTTTGTCAGTGCTATGCAGGGGTCATTTCCTGCAGGAGCGCACAGGAGCAGAGCTCTGGCAGTAAAGAGCCCAGGGGGCGGGCACATGCAACAAGCCCCACCCCCTGCTCCTAGCAGCTCTCAGTCAGAGCAAGAAGTAGCCAGGTAAGTTGCAGAGCTCCCCCTGGCCCCCCGGTCCAAAACAGTCCAGTGGCACTTTTAAGACCCAGCTTTATTCAGGTACAAGCTCTCCCTCCTCTGCGAGGACAGATCTGCACCCCCCCCCCAATAGCTAGCAATCCAAAACAGTCCAGTAGAGCCTGAGCGGTGGGTGTTGCCTTCTGACACACTTCGGTCATGTCAGAGGGTGTGGCATATGCAAATGAGTTATGCTAATGAGTTATGCTAATGAGTTCCTGCACCTCTTTTTCTACGAAATGACCCCTAGTGCTATGGAAGATCTTTCTCCTCCATCCCCATTTCCCTCTGGTGTCAAAGGATGCCTTTCAAAGCCAGGTCAAGTGAGATGTTTGAATTAGGACGAGGGATCAGGATGAAGCCCTACAGGTTAAGAAAGACCACTTGATGTGTGATGACGGAACTGTAACGGTACTGTGACATATTTTAATGATATGTTCTAACTCCTGATATGCCTTCATCATAAAATCTATTTGGGCCCAATTAGAACTTTGGAGAGCCAGCGTGGTGCTGTGGTCTGAGTGTCTGGGAGACCCAGGTTCAAATTCTATGTTTGCCATGGAAGCTTGCTGGGTGACCTTGGACCAGTTACACACTCGCAGCGTGATCAGCCTCACTGGGCTGCTTTGAGGATAAAATGGAGATGGGGAGTATGCCATGAGCAATGTTCCCTCTAAGCCGCGGAGTCTTGTGAGCAAAAATTCCACTTTGTGAGCGACTGGCATCAAAGTAGTGAGCGAGTGACTTGGATACTGCATAAATTAGGTTACTCTGGAGCCCTCCTTCCTGAGCTAAGACAAAAACGTGTGAGCCGGAGGCTAAAAAACTGAGAGCCAGCTCACACTAACTCAGCTTAGAGGGAACACTGGCCATGAGCCACTTTGGGCCCTCTTTGGGAAGAAAAGTGGACAATGAGTGAGGTACATCGTTAAATAAAAATCTGACGGCACCCTCATGTTTTCCATGTGGATGCCACAGCCATTTCAAAGTAATTTAAGGATGTCACGAGGGCCTGAGAAGAACGTAAGAGAAGCCATGTTGGATCAAGCCAATGGCCCATCCAGTCCAACAATCTTGAGTCACACAGTGGTCCAAAACCCAGGTGCCCTCAGGAGGTCCACTGGTGGGGCCAGACTCCAGAAGCTCTTCCACTGCTCCTCCCCCCTCCCCGGCACCCAAGAATACAGAACATCACTGCCCCAGACAGAGTGTTCCCTCTATAAGCAGTGGCGAATAGCCAATGAGGGACGTCTGATCCAGATGTCTCTCCAATCTCCTCTTGAAGCTGTCTATGCTTCTAGCCGCCGCCACTTCCTGTGGCAGTGAATCGCCACTTCCTGTGGCTGTGAATCGGTGATCCTGATTGGGCCCCACAGAGTGGTGGGCTGAGCCACACATTTTGGCCCCCCCCCCCGGTCTTTTCATATGCCCAAACGGCCACCCCCTGGGCTGTTTCAGCACCATTTGCGTTTAAACATAGAATTTTGGGCCAATGTTACCCGGTGTTGGTGCCATCACTTCCGGGTCACACTGAAATATCAGTCCCCGTCCGCCCCCCCCCCCCGGTTCTACCGGCCTTTTCTCCCATTTCCCCACTAAGGAGGTGGTGGGCAACAGGAGCTGGGGGGGGGGAGATGGCAACCATGGTCATCTCCCTGTTGAGCTCCCTCTCCTCCCCAAACTCCGCCCTCCCCAGTCTGTGGGCTCTTTTTGTAGCAGGAACTCCTTTGCATATTAGGTGACACACCCCTAATGTAGCCAATCCTCCCAGAGCTTACAGTAGCCCCTGGAAGAAGAGCTCTGTAAACTCTTGGAGGATTGGCTACATTAGGGGTGTGTCGCCTAAAATGCAAAGGAGTTCCTGCTACAAAAAGAGCCCTGCCGGCTCCCAAACCTCTAGGAATTTCCCAAGCCAGAGGTGGCAACCGTAGTCGATCTGGACCTCCTCGAAGTCTCATCATGAGATCAGAGCCTGGAGAACTAATCCTTGGATGCACGGCGGGCAAAACGAACACTAGCAAATTGGAACAAAACCTCAAGGGCTCCTGGGAATTGTAGACCTATCCTACAGCTGCTGTGATAATGGATTGGAAAACGGGAGGGTTGGAGAATGAAAGATGCAAAGGCTGCACATGCAGCTGCCTGGAAGGAGAGGCCCACTCTGCATCTAGCGTTCGCTCCGTCGTTTTACCAAACCCACACTGGAACAGAAAAAGATGTGGCTCAAAACCACGCCGTACTGACTGCAGAGTCACCCCTGAATGGCCATAGGTAAAAGGTAAAGGTTCCCTTGCTTGAAAGCCAGTTGAATCCGACTCTAGGGTTGCGGTGCTCATCTCCGTTTCAAAGCCGAAGAGCCAGCGCTGTCCGAAGACGTTTCCGTAGTCATGTGGCCAGCATGACTAAACACCAAGGCGCACGGAACGCTTTTACCTTCCCAATTTAGTGGTACCTATTTATCTACTTGCAATTTCTTGCTTTCGAACTGCTAGGTTGTCAGGAGCTGGACTAGAGACGGGAGCTCACTCCGTCATGCGGCACCCGGGTCTCGAACTGCTGAACTACCGACCTTCCACAGCCTGCAGTTCAGCGTCTTAACCACTTGAGCCACCACAGCTCCTGAATGGCCATAAAACAACCATAAATCTATGCAGACGGTACCATAAAACCGAGAGATCAATGGAAGCGAAAGCGGCACACAGTCTGGACACTGCCATAAAATCCGACAATCAGTCAAAGTGAAAGTGGCATGCAATGCAGAGGGGAATTTCTGTTCCAACGTGGGCTTGGTAAAACGGCCGAGCGAATGCTTAGATGCAGAATGGGCCAGAGGTGGGGCACTGGCCTGAGACTGGATGGCTGCCATTCTGAAGAGGTGGCATGACCTAACTGGGCTGCAAGGACGAAGATCTGCTAAAGGGCTGAGCAGAACAGGAGGTGGCGGAGGCAGATTTTGACAGTGGGGTTGCCATTTTGCCTGGCGAACTCCCCCGTGCCCTGCCAGGACTCAATGGAATGGTGGAGGAAAAACGGGGGCCGTTACCAGAGACATTTGCATAGGGCGTCGCTGATGCTGTGACATCACTTCCGGGCACTCACCTGGAAGTAATGTCAGCGAGTCATGCACGGTTTTTCCCCCAGCTTCCACCCCTCAAATGCGAACGCCCTCCCAGTTCTCCTAATTTTTAGCATCCCAGTTTCTGTGCGTTATGGCATGGTCACCTTAAGCGGAAAGGAAACAAAAACGGCAAAGAGATTTTTTTTTATTGGAATGTTTTATTTACGAAGCACCGGTGTTTGTTTCTCTTATTTTCCGACAATGATACGACATTGCTTCCCCCCCCCGACATTACAAAAGAAGAAGAAGAAGAAGAAGAAGAAGAAGAAGAAGAAGAAGAAGAAGAAGAAGAAGAAGAAGAAGAAGCAAGCCATTATTCATGGAGTTAAAGACTACGCCTGATATGCTTTTCAGGGTACCTGTGATCTGACTCTAATCTGAAGGGACACTCGCTTGCATCCTGAACACAGCTCCCCAAATCAGCATGCCATTTGCGAACTGATTTCTTCTGCTAGCCAGGAGGAGGGATAGACCACCTGGACAAATGGAAATTTCATTCAGCTCTCCTCCTGCTCCTCAGATTTCTGCCCACACAGCTTGCATCTCTTCTATTTTGGGTTTCCTGTTATAAGCATTAGAACCTTCTTCTAAAAAGAGGTGGAAGGCGCTAAAACCTGTGCCAGGCACAATAACTTGGCATAATGCAGACAGTAGATGCTTGCGGGCTATCGACATGTGCCATAACTCTTCAGGGTTAAAGATTCCGCGGATTTAAGCATTTGAGCACACCCAGAACAATGCAGAAGTGATTTCTGTCAGGAGTTGGCCCCGTGGTTTCTACAGGTTCTCGTGGGCCGCCACCCGGGTCCTCTCCTTCGAAGCCAGGCGAAGCTGCTCTTACAGATCGTAATGCCGATACCGGCCGGGACACTCCGGCAATGCTGCGAGGATCGATCTCTTCACCAAGGGGACTGGTTTCTCGACAGCCATGACCTCATCCGAGTGGGAGTGGGACCCAATCGTGTCGTTGTGGGAATGGATCAGGTCAAGGTGAACGTGGCCCCGTCCGGCTTGTGGAAGCTTCCCTTCCACATGCTCATGGATCAAGTGGTGGTGATGGACTCCAGGCTGGAAAAGAAAAAGAATTATGAGCACACTCTTCCGAGACAGGGATTCGAAGGGCAGCCCTCCTGGGGAAGGCCCAGTGGCCCTTCCCCTCTTCCTCCCGCCCCCAGGCCTCCTGCTCACACCGCCTCCTAACCAGGGCTCTTTTTGTAGAAAAAGCCCAGCAGGAACTCATTAGCAATATAGGCCACACCCAACAGCAGGAACTCATTAGCATATTGGGCCACACCCCTGACGGCACCGCTCATTAGCACATTAGGCTGCACCCCCATGTTACCAGAAGTGTGGTCATCCAGCCACACCCACCTTTTGCTTCTTATTCTGTTTACCTTGTTTGTTGTCAAAACCCAGGGCCTTTTTTTGTAGCAGGGACTCCTTTGCATGTTAGGCCACACACCCCTAATGTAGCCAATCCTAATGAGTTTCTGATGTTGGGTGTGGCCTATTATGCTAATGACTTCCTGCTGGGCGTGGCCAACTTGGGGCCAACTTGGGAACCAGCCGGAACTCCGTTCCTGTGCGTTCCTGCCCCAAAATAGCCCTGCTTCTAACCCAACCTTGTGCCCACCTCCTGGCTGTGCACGGCCTTCTCTTCAGGAAGAAGAAGAAGAAGAAGAGGAGGAGGAGGAGGAGGAGGAGGAGATTGGATTTATACCCACCCTTCACTACCCAATGGAGTCTCAGAGTGACTTACAATCTCCTTTCCCTTCCCCTCCCAACAACAGACACCCTGTGAGGTAGGTGGGGCAGAGAGAGCTCCTTCCAGAACTGCTCTTGAGGGAACAGCTCAGAGAGAACTTGTGACTGACTTCTCCCGATTAGAGCAGCCGCACGAGGAGGAGGAGTGGGGAATCAAACTCGTTTCTCCCGATTAGAGTCCGCGCTCCTAACCACTACGCCAGACTGGCTCTCCCATTCCCCAACCTGCCCTTTCCCCAGTGATGCTGGGCAGGTCACAGATGGGGATGCTCGCTGCTCTGTACCACCCACACCCCTTATCCCAACTATTTAGGGTTGCCAATTTCTGGTTGGGAAATTCCTGGAGATTGGGGGGGGGTCCTGGAGCCTCAGGAGGGCAGGGTTTGGGGAGGGACCACGGCAGGGGTGTGATGCCGCAGAGCTCACCCTCCAAAGCAGCCATTTTCTCCAGGGGAACTGAGCTCTGTAGTCAGGGGAGCCACTGTAATTCTAGGAGAGCTCCAGGCCCCGCTGGAGGTCGGCCACCTTAACTCTGTGGTGGAAAGAGAAAGTTTGAGTCCGGTGGCACCTTTAAGACCAAGAAAATTTTATTCACAGTATAAGTTTTCATGTGCAAACTCACTTCTTCAGATGCTTGCGCATGCACACGAAAGCTGACATCTTCAATTAAATGTTGTGGGTCTTAAAGGTGCCGCCGAATGCAGACTTCGTTCTGCTGCTTCAGACCAACACGACTACCCATCTATGCTGGAAAGCCTACGTAGCTGGGACTGTGCACTGGAAAGTGTCCACAACTGGGCAACCAGGGGAACCTCCTTTGGCGGTTTTCAGGCAGAGGCTGGGTGGCCATCTGACAGCAATGCTGATTCAGTGAACTTAGGCGGCTTCAGGGCTCTTTTTGTAGAAAAAGCCCAGCAGGAACGCATTAGCATAATAGGCCACACCCAACAGCAGGAACTCATTAGCATATTGGGCCACACCCCTGACGGCACAGCTCATTAGCACATTAGGCCGCACCCCCACATTACCAGAAGTGTGGTTATCCAGCCACACCCACCTTTTGCTTGTTATTTTGTTTACCTTGTTTGCTGTCAAAACCCAGGGCCTTTTTTTGTAGCAGGAACTCCTTTGCATGTTAGGCCACACACCCCTAATGTAGCCAATCCTAATGAGTTTCTGCTGTTGGGTGTGGCCTATTATGCTAATGAGTTCCTGCTGGGCGTGGCCAACTCGGGAGCCAGCCGGAACTCCGTTCCTGTGCGTTCCTGCCCAAAAATAGCCCTGGGCGGCTTAGTTCTCATGGCCCTTTCTCACCCGCCCAGGGAAATGCCGATTGCCACTTTGGGGGTCAGAAAGCAATTTCCTCTGGGCCAGTTTGGCCAGGGATCCTGGGCATGGAACAGTGTTCACTGGGTGTGTGTGTGTGTTGGGGGGGAGGTAGTTGTAAGTTTCCTGCATTGTGCCAGGGGTTGGACTAGATGACCCTGGCGGTCCCTTCCATGATTCTATGATACACAGGCAGGCAGCAGGGCAGGTATATGGGTGGAGAGTCAGTGGCATAGGGCCCTGCTAGAAGCCAGGGACCCTGGCAGCTGCCCCAGCTTGGGGCATGCTGACGCCAGCACTGGACAGAAATCCGTGTCAACCCCGGAGCCAGGAATCTTGGAGAGTTTGTTCGGACTCTACTCCATCCATCAGTAAGGTGCGCTTTCTCTGGGGCGGGGCTGTTAAAAGCCACGTTCCAAGTTGGTACCTGGTGGTCATAGACGGTGCAGTGCACTTCGTGATGGTCGGCGGCGTCCTCGGCAGCGCTCTTGTGAAAGGATGCTTTGCAGAACCCATAGTGCTGAACAAGGAAAGCAAACAGACAAAGGAGCTAAGACACTGCTTTTATTTCTTTTTACTGTCGGGTTGCAGACGACTTATGGTGACCCCGTGAGTTTTTCAAGAAGAAGAACAGAGGAAGAGACTGGATTCATACCCCGCCCTTCACTACCCGAAGGAATCTCAGAGCGGCTTAAGAACCTAAGAACATAAGACAACCCAATGTTGGATCAGGCCAGTGGCCCATCCAGTCCAACACTCTGTTACAGACAGAACACCTGGGAGCGGGGGAGGGGGGATATGCCCTTAATGTTTTTGGCAGGCACCCCAATTGCCTACCGCTTCAAAGACACAACTTTTCTCATGTGGCATGGACCCCTCAAGATCAGAGGCAACAAGAGAGAACTCTCTCATAGCCTCTGATCTTCTTGAGGGGTTCTTCTGTGCAATGTAAGAAGAGTTGGTTAAAGGGTTTAGGTTAAAGCATCCCAATTGCCTACTGCTTCAAAGACACCGCTTTTCTCATGTGGCATGGACCCCTCAAAATCGGAGGCAACAAGAGAGCGTCCTCTCCATGTAAAGAGAGAATTCTCTCTCATGGCCTCTGATCTTCTTGAAGGCTTCTTCTGTGCAATGTAAGAAGAGTTGGTTAAGGGGTTTAGGTTAAGGTTCCAGGTTAAGGGGGCCTGCAAACTCTGGGGAGGAAGTCTAAGGCCTCAGCTCCTGGGCTCAGCGGGACATGCCTTGATTGTCGATCTTAAAGCAGCAGGCACCCTTTGTAGGTCGAAAATGAGCACTCCCAAGGAGCCAGTGGGGTGCAGTGGTCCGAGTGTCAGATGAGGATCTGGGAGATCCAAATTCAAGTCCTCCCCACTCTGTCCTGGGAGCTTGCTGGGTGATCTGGGCCCAGCCACACCCTCTCAACCTAACCTACCTCACAGGGCTGTTGTGAGGATAAAATGGAAGGGAGGAGAATGCTGTAAGTCACTTTGGGTGCTCATTGGGGAGAAAAGCAAGGTACAAGTAAAACAACAACAACAACAACAACATCAATAATCAGGGGTCATTTCCTGCGGGAGCGCGCAGGAGCGGAGCTCCGGCAGTAAGGAGCCCAGGGGGTGGGCACATACAACAAGCGCCATCTCCTGCTCCCAGCAACCCTCAGTCAGGCCACGAGGAGCAAGAAGCAGCCAGGTAAGTTGCAGAGCCCCCCCCTGGCCCGCCTTCAGGTACAAGCTCTCCCTCCTCTGTGAGGGCAGATCTGCACGTGTCTCCCCCCATAATAGCTAACAATCCAAAACAGTCCAGTGGAGCCTGAGCGGTGGGTGTTGCCTTCTGACACACGTCTGGTGATGTCAGGGTGTGTGGCATATACAAATAAGTTATGCTAATAAGTTATTCTAATGAGCTCCTTCACCTCTTTTTCTACGAAATGACTACGATGATGATGATGATGATGATGATGATGATGATAATAATAATAATAATAATAATAATAATGCATTTTTTGAGATTTGAAATCACAGAGGTCAGAACTCTCTGTTCTATCTACCATCTTATTCAAGGCACATAAGCCCTGTTGGACACATCATTTAGTCTGATCCCAGATTCTGTCTGCACCACATGAATCACAACGGAATCATAACGAGCCACTTACCAGGTGATCGCCTGTGGCCACATGGCAGTCATCCTCATGCTCCTTCGCGTGCTGGGCTGAGCAATTGGTGTTGACAATTGCAAACTCTGCGTAGACACCTCTGGCCAAATGCTGGGAACACAGCAAAGAATGTTTTAGCCATCTCTGTGCTGAGAAATGATGAAGGACTTGGGACGAATCAAAGCTGTGAATTCTATGGACAGTGAATGGGAGACACTGGAGCTATGTGTGGGATCAGTACACAGTCTTTATTTATTTATTAATTAAAATTTTACCCTGCCCTCCTGGCCAAGGGTGGCTCAGAGCGGCTTACACAACAAGATAAAATTCCAACAATACAGCATAAAATCATCCATATCAATTAATATAAATAGCAATGTTAAAACCAGTAACATAATAAAGTGCTAGCAAACATAAATTCCTCGGCTTCCCACACTAGGCTGACACACTCAATGCCTGTGATCTCCGGAGGCGGGAGCACCCTGAAGGAGTAAGCCTCCTTCAGATGAATAAAGCCTTCCCCCACCCCCTAGTCCGATTGGGGAAGGACTGAGAACCCAGGTGGAGCTGATTGGGAGAGAGATACCGTCTCTCCCTCACACATGCCAGGTCCACATTCTGCTCCTGCAGAAAGTCCCGAAGGACCATAGTCTTATTTATAGACCTGGCGTTACACAATGCCAATGTCAGAGTGGGGTTAGTCATCCCAACCTTTGGGATGGGATGTAGGATGGAAGGGATGATCGCTTCAGTACGAGTCTCTCTCTCCCACGACACTCCAACCCCCGGCTTTAGAATTTAGTTAGCAATGTGACTTTTAAATGGTTCATCTTATCCTTTCTTTCCTCCTTTCAACCACACCTTCCCTTAGCAGCAGAACTATCTCCCCCTGTGCTTCTTCTTATTCATTCCAATTTCTTTCCCTTAAAACCACCTGCATGGAAGTATGGAACTACGTAAGTATGGAACTATTTTCCTTAACAAAACTGAACACACGAAGCTGCCTTATCCTGAATCAGACATTTGGTCCATCAAGGTCAGTATCTTCTACTCAGACTGGCAGTGGTTCTCCAGGGTCTCAGGCAGAGGTCTTTCACATCACCTACTACCTGATCCTTTTTTTAAAAAACTGGAGATGGTGAAGATTGAACCTGAGACCTTCTGCATTCCAAGCCGATTTGCTACCGCATGTTTTGGTCTGTCAAATGGTCCTATAAAAATAATGTTGTGAATGGTGGCCTAACTTAGCTGAGGGCTTTTTCACATTTTCCTCGCTTGTAAGTTCCTGTTTTGGGGGGGCTTTTTCTAATCCACACATATTTTGCTCCCTGTAGTGATTGATTCGATATCACACAGAATGATATGGCTGCTCCATATCTAGTTGGTTGCTATCCAGTTAGAAAATCCACCAGTGCAGCGAAATTGTCCTGGGCCCGTAACCCTATTGGGATATTTGGTTAATATAGCAGAATTTGTCTTATCATAGAAGCATGATATTGAGTGCAATAAATAAATAAATCTCCCAAGACTTACATTTATTCAATTAGATCCAGTTTACATTCAAGTTGCAGTCAAAAGGAGGGAGAAAAGCCTACTCTAAAGAGTGCTTTCCCTATCACCAGCACCCCAGAAAAACTAATGAAATCCCCAAAATCCACACCTCTGTCCTCCGCCCTCTGTCCCACTGAAACTACCTGTCTGGAATCAGATCACCGTATCTACTCTGATGTTGCCCACCCTCCAAGTGAGTGATCATGGGTTCTCGTGCACGAAACACGTGTACTCTACCTCTGAGGTACTGGTCCTTCCTTTCTTTGAGGAAGTCCACAGAATAACTTCCTGTACTCTTGTTGGGAGGTGCATATCTGGGAGCGGGGGAAGCAGCTGAAGAGAAGACTGGTCCTTCCCCTTGGGAAGACACCCACACTTTCCACTTGACAGTCAAAGGAGAACAGAACTCCTATGTCATAACCATCTGTGCAGAACAGGTTTGTCACTGTGTATGGGGATCGCTTCTCTCACTCTTGCTTGTTAGAAACGGTGGCTTCTAGAACACTCTATGCTGCACAGTTGTGAAAGGCACAAGTTCCCATTTTCTGCTTCCAGCACTCACAGGGTTTTCAACTCTAGCTTGGGAAATCTCTGGATATTTGGGGGGTTATGCTTGGTTTCAGGGAGGGGTAGATCAGCAGGGATGTGGTTACTCCTAAAGCCTATGTCAGGGGTGTTGAACTCATTTGTTATGAGGGCCAGATCTGACATAAATGAGACCTTGTTGGGCCAGGCCATGTGTGTCGTAAAATGTAATGCCAGGTAGCAGAGATATCAACTTTATAAAGGACACAAACACAAAGATTTTTTTTTACTTAAAATAAAAACGTGCTTAAAACATTAGCTCTGTAAGCTGCAAACCTACTTTTAATTTATTGACATTCACCACAGAAATCTCATGCTCAGAGTTCTGAGTCTGGGACCCAGGTTAAAACATGAAATGGCGGAGTGATTAAGAGAGTCTGAGGAAGCAAGCTATGACGCAGCAGCAGAACTGGAAGCAGGAGATGGTCAGTTCTACTGGGGGCCTGATGCAGCCCCCGGGCCACATGTTTGACACCCCTGGCCTATGTTATACTGTAGGGTGTGCCTGCTGACACTGCCATTTCCTCCAAGGCAACTGATCTCTGTAGTGCGTAGATCAGTGGCAATTAGGGTTGCCAACCTCCAGGTGGGGCCTGGGGGGGGTCTCCTGGAATTACAACGAATCTCCAGGCTTCAGAGATCAGCCCCCCTGGAGAAAATGGCTGCTTGGAGACTGACTTCTATGGCATTATGCCTTGCCAAGGTGCCTCTCCTCCCCAAACCTCATCCTCCCCAGACTCCAGCCCCAAATGTCCAGGAATTTTTCAACCTAGAGTTGGCAACCCTATTTGCAATTCCAGGACAAGTCCAGGCCCCACCCGGAGGTTGGTATCCCTAAGTACTCAAGCTGTGCAGACCACAAGCCTTCACTGGTCCCTGCTGCCAGGTGGACTGGCAGAGCTCTGTGTTCGATAATGGAGCAGTGACCCTGGCTTCAACAACTCACCAAGTGATGACCTCGAGAAATCTCAAGGAGCTTGTAGTGGTCATGAGTGGTGTTCTGAGCGTTATACTCCTTCAGTGCGGCATGAACTGTGTTCACCACATCGGTGTCGTTCAGCCGTGACAGACGGTTGCAATTGGGGCAGCTTTTCTGGAAATCCTCATCTGAATCTGAGGAAATGAGTAGAGAAAGAAGTCTTTTTTTTTATATCAAGACCATGTTTGTGCCAAGCAAGTTCCAGAAGAAGAAGAAGTAGAAGCAGAAGAAGAGGAGGAGGAGGAGCAGCAGGAGGAGCAGGAGGAGGAGGAGGCTCTAAGTGAGAGTTGTGAGCACCTCTGCATGTTAAAACAGTGATTATCATTGTAGGGATGCCAGTTCTGTCCTAGCAAATCCTGGGAGATTTTATGGGCAGTGTCTGGGTAGGATGGAGTCTCAGAAGTGTGTGGTAATGCTTCTGGATGATGCAGTAGGGAGTTTCCCAGTCTTTATGGTCTTTACCATAGAGATTGTGGAAATTCCTAGAGCGTTCCCGTCAATGCCGTTCCCCTCTGTTCTTTCTCCCACTCCTCACGTGATCAAGGGTGGGGCACTGAGGGAGCCAGTGGAAGATTACCTGCTGCTATTGGGCAAACTGGTAACCTCCCAATGCTCCCTCTAAGGTGTGGAGTCTTGTGAGCAAAAATTCTACTTTGTGAGCTACTGGAATTAAGGTCATGAGTGAGCAATTTGGCTGCTGCATAAATTAGTTTGCCCTGGAGCCCTCCTTCCTGAGCTAAGACAAAAATGTGTGAGCCGGAGGCTAAAAAACTGTGAGCTAGCTCACACTGACTCAGCTTAGAGGGAACACTGCATGGGACTTCTCAGACCTTGCCCTAAAGCAACTTACAGTCTAAATTGAAAAAAAGAGGAAGGCGAGACCACAGAAGGAACATTCTGTTTTGGTTTAGGGGCTTGGCTTAGAACCTAAATCTCTTCCGCTCTCCCCACCCTCCTCAAAAGATGCTGTGAGATACTAGCCTCTGGACATTTGTGGGGGACATGTTCTAGTCCCTGACTCATAGAAATCCTGCTCTCTGAGTTGGGCCACGTCCCTCCAAACCAGAGCTCTGCTTCCTCTACCCCAATGTAGAAGGGTCCATTGTACACAGAAGCTGCTGTAGGATGCTGTGTGATGACATCATCACCAGGCTGCCATTTTTAAACAAAGAAAGGTGCTGGCTGCCACCAACTTTCAACCTCACTGTTTTTGATAGATTTGTGGTGCCTCAAGATGGATGGGGGGAGGTGAAGATTTAACTATATCCTCCACTTCGAACCCCCTAAAAGGATTAATCTTCTCAGCCCTTCCATATATTTAGGATCCTGCTATGGCCTTTACAGAGAAATCCTCACCATTAGCCTCTTTTCAGCCCAGCAATATATTGCATAGTTCCTCTGATATTAGGGTTGCCAATCCCCTGGTTTGGAGCTTCTCCCCCGCTTCAGGGCTGTCAGAAAGTGGTAGGAGGAAATGGCCGCTGGGCACTCCATTATACCCTATGGAGACCGGTCCCCATAGAATATAATGGAGAATTGATCTGTGGGTATCTGGGGCTTGGGGGGGCTATTTTTTGAGGTAGATGCAACAAATTGTCCACATAGCTGGTTGTGCCTCTCCTGAACCCCCCCCCCCAAGTTTCAAAATGATTGGACCAGGAGGTCCAATTCTATGAGGCCCAAAAGAAGGTGTCCCCATCTTTCATTATTTCCAATAGAGGGGAAGCATTTAAAAGGAATGCGATCCCTTTAAATATGATGGCCAGAACTCCCGTCCGACTTGCTGGTCTCACCTGGCAACCCTAGTGACATCACAAAAGTGATGTCACATCCTTGTTCCTGGCTGCGCCCCCAAATTCTCCTGGCTCCACCCCCAAAGTCCCCAGACCTGGCAACCCTATCTGAGACCCCCAAAGCATGTAAGCCATTACCTGGAGAGGAGTGGCATTTTGTCCGCAACACCTTATAGTGTCCATCAACCTCGATCATCTTAACATCACAGTCCCCTTCGACGGCCTAGAGGTTCAAAATCAGAGAATTACAGGCTGCAGTGCTGGCAGAGGCCTCTAGGGAACCAAAACGAATTAGTGACATCCCATTGTGAGACCTTGTTGATCACGCCCAGGCATCCTTGGAGTGACACTGTTATGGTGGCCTCAGAAGGTGAATCAAGCAAATGCTTGTAAAACATCAGCTGGTCACCTAGAGCGAGCAAGAAATGCCTCCAGGCGAGCCAGCGGGGATTTTTTTTGTAAAATGAAAGTGCTTTCCATTTTAGGATGCCAGTGTGCAATGCCCCAAATGACTGAAATCGATAAGGGCCTGGATGGCCTGTCTACTAAAAAAGTTGTAAACTCGGACCGGTAACTTCTTTGGATTAATTTGTGATCATGGTGGCAGCAACGATAATCTTTCTACTTCCCGCTTGCTCCTTGATGCTTTTTGTTGGATTTATGGGTGCTGAACTGCTAAATCTAATAAAAACGTAGCCAACGCAAGACGGGAGCCAGCTCGTCCCTGATCCGACAGGAGCTTTTTTGGGTGAAGAGCCACCAACACAAACCCGCGTGCTTAAAGGCAAACCAGAAGTTCAGACACTTACGTGTTCTTCCCGCTTCCTGACTGTACAATTTTCAGCAGGCAATGGGTCCACAAGGTGGCATGTAGTCTCTACTACGTCTAGCTCAAGATCCATTATCTTTCCATGTGGTCTCTAGAGTGGGGAGAAAAGAGATAATCATAGCTACATTGCTGGATTCCTTTAGCATGGTTACATTTTGTTAGGGTTGCCAAATCGGCCCGGGGGGCGGGGAATCCCCCGCTTTGGAGGGCTGATTTCCGATGCGACGGAAATCGGCCCCGGGGGAAACCCCGCCTTCCGAAGCTGCGTCACCAGAGGTGACCGCGACGTAGGGCCCATTGGGGGCGTGGCCCAGATCGTTGGGGGGGAAACCATATGGTTCCCCCCCGACGATCTTGGCCACGCCCACAACGTGCTACGCTGTGCGTCACTTCCGGTGACGCGCACACATCCCCCGCGCGCACACATCCCCGGCCAGCTCCCGGAGCCAGAAGACGCTCCCCCGCCGGTAAGGAAAAAACATTTGGCAACCCTACATTTTGTCAGTGTGCTAACCAGTATACAGCTAGTAGGGGTATCCTAAATACTTTCCCAATAAAAGTGGAGACAAAACATGAAGGACAGGGCCTTCTCAGTAGTGACCACACTGGTGGAACGAGCTCCGGGAAGAAATCAGGCCCCTGCGGGACCTTTTACAGTTCCGCAGGGCCCGCAAAACAGAGCTCTTCCACCAGGCCTTCGATTAGGAGCCACTACCAACAATGTTGAACTGAGATAAAGCCCTTCATGTCAACAGCAACTGCCTGCGACGTCAACAGGAACATCCTCTGGCCACACTTTTTGCTTTATTTGTTACATCATGGCCTATAGCTACCGCCTCTAGCACTTCAACTGTATTTATTTGAGACTTCCTATTTGTAATATGTATGAATTGTAAGGCGTTTTGTATATATTGAATTGTTGTTTTACGGTATTTTAACTTTTAGTGTAAGCTGCCCTGAGCCCGCTTCGGCGGAAAGGGCAGGATACAAATTGGATTAATTAAATGAATAAATAAATAAATAACAGACAGTACATCAAAGTTTCAGGTGGGTAAGCCGGTCTGCAGTAGAAGAAGCTAGATTTGAAACCAGTAACACTTTAAAGACTGACAAGATTTTCAGGGTATAAGCTTTCAAGAGTCAAAGCTCTGTTCATATATTCCTACAGGTATCTGATAAAAGGAGCTTTGACACTCAAAGGCATATATCTTGGAGATCTTGTTGGTCTATTGAATACATCAAAGAAGCACCTCTAGGAATGTTGGAATACCTGCTGGTTCAGCCCGTCGTCCTGTTTGCCAATCACAAACAAGGAGCCGATTTTTTGATGTTTGGTTTGAATGCTCGCTAGCCTGTTTGTGACAGTTTGGCAGGTTGCTTCAGTGTATTCCTCCCTGACAGTGCAGTAAAGGGCAATTGGCTTTTTGTGCATGCTCACACGGCCTGATTGGGTTCTGCTTTCTCCTTCCTCACTGTGTGACTGCTCTGCTGGGCAGGCGCTTGCTTGAATGTCCTATCAGCTATTTGCAGAGTCCATTTTTTCTGCTGTATCCCCACAGGGCTTTTTGAGGGCTCCAACCAACCAACAAACCAACCAACCAACCAACCAATTAACCAACCAACCACCCAACCAACCAACCAGTAATTGCTATTATGAAGCTTATTGTCATGACCTACTAGTTCCTCTCCACTTCCGGCTTTCATTTCTTAAGACGTCTCTAGGCCTTTTCATTGCAGAGATATAAAAGGGTACACCTTTCCACATATATCTCTGCAATGAAAAGGACAAACTTAAAAAAAAAGAGCTGGGAATTCATAGGAACAAGCAGATCATGGCAACAGATCATTATAATATTCATGAGACCTTTCATTATAGCAATTGTTGATTGATTGATTTTTTTTTAAAGCCCTCCGGAAGCACAGTAGCGCAAGGCTGGAGCTAGGTTTCAAGTCCTCCCCTGGGCATAGAGTTCTCAGGCTTCCATCCCTTCCTCTTCCCACCACCCGTCACTCAGGTCCTCCTTCCTTCCTGCCCCCCTGCTTCCCACCTGCTTGTGTTTCCTCCCCTTGGTTACTCACAAGTCTTCCCTCTGCCTGTGCTCACAGCTGCCTGCAGCCCTTTGCTCAGTGGCACTGGGCAGTGCATGCAGCAGGAAGCATGGGTGGCGCAGCAATAGTGTGTGTGTGTCGGGGATGGTGGCAGTGGGCCCTGCCAAAAATCTTGGGCCCCGGCAGCTGCCCCTGCTCAGGGTACGCCGATGCTGGCTCTGCAGTAATCATAATTAACAATTATTGTATGGCAATGTGTGTCATATCGACTGGAGATCTGCAGATCGTCTGGCAGCCTTAAGTTCTAGCCCTTTTAAGCGCTATGCACCACTAGGTGGCGAGCTAGACTTGTTTTTGGGGCTGAGGGGGTTCTGAAAGAGCTGTGACTGACCCATGGTCACCCAGCTGGCTTCATGTGGAGGAGTGGGGAATCAAATCCAGTTCTCCAGATTAGAGTTCACCGCTCTTAGCCAGTACACCACACTGGCACTCTGGCCCTGCAGTGGTGGAAAAATACAGGGGAAAGTGACTCATGGAGGAAAGTGCACACAAAACGTCTGTGAGGACGCCCAGTCATAAATAAACGCCACATTTCTCCAAGAAGTCGTGCCCTTTGGTGTTTGCCTGAGCAGCCCCTGTCCATGTGAACGGCTGCCAATCAGTCTGAAGTGCCAAGACCTTGATGGACGTGCAGGTTTGCAAAAACGTGATGCAAGCCTCTTGGGCTGGCATTCGCAACAGTTGGGAGGGGGTGTGGCTCAGTGGCAGAGCCTCTGCTTGGCATGTGGAAGGTCCCCAGGTTCAATCCTCGGCATCTCCAGCTAAATTTACTAACTGTGCCAGGCCCCAAAGATGCAAAACTGGCCACTACGAGGGCTAGGGCTTTTTCGGTGGCGGCCCCCACCTGGTGGAATGAGCTCCCGGAGGAGATCCGGGCC